GCCTGCTATCCTGCAGCAGCTGCTCCTGTTGGATTCATGCTTCTTGTATCTGCTCGTTCAGCTTCCTCAGGGCCACCACTGTCTTTTTACCTTTTTCTCTAACTTCCTTGGTTTCTTGGACTTGAAACATTTATTTAAAATAGTAAGATAGGGTGACCTTGAAGAGAGATACTGGGACTCTGAGCAAACTCAAAGGAAGAAAAATGAGACATTCCTTTATCAGTTCTTAGGGACAACTTAGGAAATAAAGAACAAACAAACAAAAACTGGAACAGCTGTCCTTATTCATACAAAAAACAAATCTTTTTGAGCAATCATTATGTTCCAGACACTGAGGGGGAAACAGCTAGGTGTAATGATAAGCAATGTAACTTACAATTTACAAAACGCAGTTACCACAGCCTAACCAGCTCTCATCTCAATTTTAAAAAGGAGAAAGTAGGTTCCATGAATTGAAGTCACTTTCCTACAACTTGACGCCACTAGCAAGTAGATGAACCTGAGTATGAAACCCAGACCTTAGATTTACTGGATACTGTAGCAGCCACCAAGAACCACAGAAGCAGACTTGGTGATGGGGACTAGAAATAATTTTCTCAGCTTTCATAAGTTTTGCAGTTTCTGAAACCCTCCATGCAACACCTACATCCTCCCGGGATCCCAGCACTCACCAGGGCACTTCTGGAGTCCTCTGAAGTTCATGCCCAAGAAAAATTGCGAGTGTCAGGGGTCTGCTGGTGACTGACACAGCAGCAGGGGGTGGGGGTGTCAATGCGACTAGCTCTGCCCAGCTAGCCTGGATGTCACACAATGCCCTAGTCTCAGCCAGTGCAACTTCGACCACTTAACCTCCTCAGCTTCCAAATAAGCTCTAACTTATACTGGGCTGCCCAGAGGATTGGCCCCTGGTTATCGCAGAGTCCCAGTGGGGCCTGTGCTCCTGTGCTCCTGAGGACCAGGGCTTTGGAACTTTTCCGGTCCTACCCTCCGATGAGCAGATCCTGGCTACCTGCAGTCCTCTCTCACTTGCCTCCCCCAGTATTTGGCTTTGGTGGATCAGAGCACTGAGGCCAGGTGCCCTCCACTTGGCGGGTGGGGCTGGATGGATTCCCTACACAATGGTTGCGCAAGGCTCTCAAGCCGCATGGGGTTTCTATGATAGGCTGAGTCAGAGGCTGGCAGTGCGTGCAATTCCCACTGAGTCTCAGGCTTCAGGGGTCCTCGGCCCCCTGCTTGTCTACTGCAGGTGGGAATGGCAGGATCCCGGAAAAACCTCTGTACAAGTGATGCCCACAGCAGATGTGGTAGGAGCAAAGGCTGCTTGAGGTGGGTGGAATGGCAGAGAAAAAGGGAGGTAGGTTACTGGGCTCTTGGAGGGAAAAGGTTAGTGGTTTCTGGGGAACTTGACATCAGCACCACTTCCAGCCTCTGGGGAAGCCTGGGACCCCAGGCAAGGTCAATTAAGGTTGCTTTCCATGCACCCTCAGCACAGGTTTGGTACAACTTATCACATTGTACTGAAACCGGCTTGCTGAAGACATTGCCAGCTTCTGGAAGGCCAGGGCTTAGGAATAACTAGAGTGGAACACATTGCAGGCACACAAATTTTCAGTGAAGAGTTGCCAAAGACTTCTTGGGTGCCTACCATGATCTCAGTGCTGGAGCCCCACCTGGGGCTCTGGGGAAGAAGTTAAGCATTGCTGGAGCACCATTACCTGCTATTAAAGCACTGCTGTTGTTAAGCCTTTTAGCAAGTATCCTTTTGATAGTTTGTTTTTCCTTTAAATGTGCTGAGGTGTTGGGGTCTGGGGAGACCTACCTCCCTAACCGACAATTGTTAGATCCTTCCCCAGGCAGTCTACCTTGAACGAAGAAGGGACAGTTAGGCAGTCAACTACCCTCATACCAGCAGCACAGGCTGGTGTCTGCACAACACAGTGTTTGCTGGGACAGTATCTTCAGAAGCCAGAACCATGCTTTGAATTCAGCTCCCACTCCAGCTGTCAATTACATGGGCCCATCCCCAGGTGTTGGATTCTGGTGGGTGCCACCTGGAGGGTGTCACCTGCTGCAGCCTGCTGTCATCTGTTGCCACTGCTTGTAAAAACCTGACCAGGGCCTAGAATAACTGGAAAAGCTTCTCTTCACCTATCCAGAATTTCTATCTGGGTAGAGCAGAAGGACCCCAGTCAGCTAGTTTGTGACAAAGATACAGCAAAAGTGGAGTTAGCAAGGCTCCTGCTTCCATGGAGTTACTGTTTAATGAAGTTCAAGGAAAAACCCATGCATGTACACACACAGTAAAGTGGTCAGGAGTAGGGGAGACTCTATTAGATGGGTGGTAAAGCAAGGTATCACCTAAACTGAGTAAATGCTGGGCATGGGCTGTGTGTGGATAGTTCAGGAAGAAGTGAATAGTGCCAGTCTTCAGGCACAGCTGATACAGGAGTGGAAATTCTATGGTACCCTAACCACCCCTTGTACATCTCCCTCCAACCCTCTCTCCGTATTTCCACAGAGGCTCACGTGACACCTGCATAGCCAAGGCTCTCCACCTCACGTAATCAGCCCAGACACAGCTGTACATGAAGTCCCCTTTCCTGCCAATGTTGGGGAGCAAACTGCCCAGGACTTGCGTGGAGTGCCTCACAGAGAATGAAATGCCTACAACTTGCCAGTCTTCAATGACTTCAGATTTCATTTTTGCTTAACTGTCTACTTTCATCTCACTTGGATTTGCTTGAGTTCCTGGACAGGCTTCTTCTTTATTCCCATCTTATCTGATTGTGTTTTTGACTTCGTTTTGTGGTTCTGGGGATCAAATCCCAGGGCCTCACCCATGCTAGGCAAGTGCTCTACCACTGAGCTTCATCCTCAGCCCCTAATTTTCTCTTTATTGCTTCCCCTTTCCTAGGTTTCTTTGTCCTTCTTATTCACATTCTCTCTCCCTCTTTTCAACCCTAGTTGTTGAGGCTATTATAATTTAGGAAGGTGAAGAGACAGTCTAGGCCATAAACCCTTCAGCTGACTATGATATATATAAACCTTTTACGTTTAGTCTCATTTTTCAAAAGTTAGCCAGAATTTAAAGGCTGTGCTATACTTCACTCACTGATCTGTAAGAAGCCTGCTTTCATTCTCAAAAGTTCCATAGGAAAATGTGTACATATGCATCTGTGCATTTCTATGGGAGGTTCCCAATTTTTATCAGACTTTAAGAGGAAACTGAAACTATCAAATAGGTTAAGAATAGCCGGGCACCAGTGGCTCATACCTGTAACCCTAACTACTCAGGAGGCAGAGAGGAGGATGATCATGGTTCGAGGCCAGCCCAGGAAAGGCAAATAGTTCAAGAGACTCTATCTCAAAAATACCCCCACATAAAAAAGGGCTGGTGGAGTGGCTCAAGCAGTAGAGCACCTATTTAGCAAGTGTGAGGCCAAGTTCAAGCCCCAGTACCACAAAAAAAGAAAAAAAAATCCAAAGTCCTACATAACAGTTGGAAAATAAGAACTGGAACAATTTCTCTTAGTACTACGTAAACCTTTGAGGAAGACTTTGGATTGCAGAAACTACAGGGAATTATCAAGAAATCCTTTTGAAGTTTTTCATCAGTTTCTGGAATTCATAAAATTGTTTGTATTTTCTCAGAGTACAATTCCATATTGTTTGGAATCAAACTCCTAGACTGGTACTCACAGTCCAATAAATCACTGGTTCAGCCTCAGGCTGTCATAAATGCTAAAGCTACAACCACCACAAAAGTCAAAAGTCTATGGTAATTTAAAATTCCATTTGAACCGTTTCAAAATATTTGGACTATTTTTTTTTTTTTTTTTGAGAACCTTGTGCTATCAGTTTCTCCTGCAGGATTTCTCTAGTAGGACTTTTATTTAGGGGAGCTGTGTTTTTCTGGACTCACAACAGACTGAGGCTACATTAGTCATTTATTGGACTGTGAACTCCAGTCTAGAATAATCCCATGTTTTATCATATTTTCTGTATGGGAAAAATATAATCAACTTTATTTTTTCCAGATATTGCTAGTTATGAAAAACTTCAAAATGATTTTCTTGGAATTGTGATTTCTATGTAAAATGAATTCATTCAAAATTGGGTTGAAAGAATTGTCATGCTGGACACAATGGCTCAAGCCTATAATTGCAGCTACTCAGGAGACGGAGATCAAAACACTGAGGTTTGAAGCCAGGCTGGACAAAAAGTTCGAGACTCCTTCTCAACCAATGGCTGAGCGTGGTGGTGCACCTGTCATCCCAGTTAGGTGGGAAGTGTAAATAGAAAGATAGTGGTCCAGTCTGCTGGTACGGTATAACACCCACATCTCATGTCTTATTCATAATAATGGATAAATAACAAAACTGATTTTAATATAGACATTAGTGTTTTAGAGAGCATGTAATTACTCCACCTGAATACCCTAACTCATGAGCTAAAAGTACAGGAAAGACTGATCTTGGTATCCAACTCAAATTTGAAGCCCATTCCAGGTGTACATCTATGGCTGATAAGTAGGAAGGATCTTTGACTCTTTTTCTGCTTTTAATTTCGCACTCCCCCTCCCCATGGCTGTCATTAAGCATGTATTTCAGGATTAAGTAACCTCTACATATTCTCAGTATATTTTTGTTATCATCCCAGAGAATGGATTTGACACATTGTTATGGCTTTCCACTTCAGAATGAGGGTTTGAGGACGTTAAAGAGTGAATCATGGAGTCAAGCATGGTAGTACATACCTATAATCCTAGCTACTCAGTAGGCAGAGATCAAGAGAATTGCAGTTTGAAGCCAGCCAGGATGAAAAGTGAGGCCCCAACCTCCCTCTCAACAAATAAGCCAGGAGTGGTGTCATGCACCTGTGGTCTCAGCTATGTGGGAGGCATCAAGTAGGTGGATCATGGTCTGAGGCCAGTCTGGGCAAAAATGTGAGACCCTACTAAAAAAAGTAACTAAAGCAAAAAGGGGTGGGGGTGTGGATTAAGTGGTAGAGCACTTGCCTAGCAAGTGCAAGACCCTGAGTTCAAACCCCAGTATTGCTTAAAAAAGAGAACTGGAAATATCATTCTAAGTGAGAGTCATTTATTTCTTTTGTCACGGCCAAACATTCTCCAAGTCTTTTGACCAGAAATTAACACAGCTTCTTGATTTCTCCTCCCTGACAGCCCTCATCTCCTGCAACGGTTTTAAGGACACAAGTGGGAATGAAAATGTAGTGTGGATATACCATTTTCTTCACTTGTTTCAAAACGGCCCATTCTGGCAGTACCCAATTTAGGTTTCAATGCACCTTATTTGAAAGTGGTCTTCACAAAAGCACACAATAAAGCTATTTAGAGGAGCATAGACAACAGAGAGTTCAAGTGTGGCAATAGCCTTTCAGAATTTGAAAAGGTAGTATTTGTCCATATCAAGGTTAGTTTTTTAAAGTGGCATATGCCACACAATAGCTAAGAATATAGAAGAACAATATTTACACAAAAGGGGAAAGAGAATCCAAAAACACGACAACAATGCTGCTCTAACAAATGCTCCAGAGAAAGCTACCCTCAAAGGGAAAGAGGCCATTGAACATTACCAGGTAGGCATGAGGTACAGAAAGGTTTTTTCTTTTCCAGCTCCAGAGAAGTAACTACAACTGGTGTCAAAGTCTCACAATATAAAGTCGATAGAACTCCATATATAAAACAGGATAGTAGGACAATATTCTCAAAACATCAAAAGAGACCTGGTGGGCTAATGGCATGAATGAGGACTTATTGGGGTGTGGACTAGCAAGTGAGGTAAGGTCCAGGGGACAAGGAATGCACACCTTGGTTTCCAATCTCAGCGGCACTACTAAGAATGCTATGGTACTGTGTCACCACATTAGGGGCAAAGGGAGCAAAAGCAAGCTTCAGGACACTGATTCTAGCAACAGATGAGGCCTCAGGGCTTGGGAAAGTTGGGGCAGTATTTATTGCTTTTTCTGCCTTTTCCTTCATACTCACTTTAATGTGACACATTAATCCTAAGGCTGCTTTTCATGTCTGTGAGTCTAGTTATCCATTGCTACTTGGTCCAAACTGAGCATTTCTTAGTATACCAAATATAGGGAGACTGTAGCCTTTTCATCCTAAATCCTTTTCTTCCTCTCAATCCTAAAACAAAGAGCCTGCATAAATTTCGCTTCCCAAGGATTCAGGGTCATGCTTTTATGAGTGACAACAGTTCTAGCTTCTATGCTTCTTTTATCACAAAAACTGATAAGCCTGTTATTCTTTAAAAACTGAGCTTGGATTTGTTTCATAAGCTAATGATGAAGTGGGTACTAAATCAATGGCAATTCCAAGGACATTTATATCTCAAAAAGGAAAGAACCACCAAACTGGTTTCTTATTCTTGAACAGGGGACTAGGAACCTACAGTTGGCCTTAAGGTGGAGCTCTTTGGGAAAAAGAAGAGAAAAGCAAGAGAACTCCAAGGAGAAATAGTAGGAAAGCTACTAAAAAAGGAGGGGAGGGGATGAAAGTGAGAAGTAGGGAAGACCGTGAAATTTACACATGAAGGAGCTAAGAAAGTCACAGCCTTCCACCAACAGCTGAGAGCATCTTCACTCAGCCCCATGACTCAGGCCTCCCCGCACAGGTCCCAGTGACAACAGCATCACACCCCCTTCTCCTAGGTGTGCTTTTACTGCCTGCCTATTTTCTTCCTCGTTTATGAGTGGTCTTTGGGGGCTTTACTTTCTGGGGCTGGGTTGGCACTGGCTCCTGCTCTGATTCTTTACAGGAGGTCGACACAACCAGTTCCTCCCCATTCCTCCTCTGATCTTTCCCTACTCTAGGACTGGGCTGGGTCTCAGGAAGCTCTGTGCCAGGCTGCTGCCGCCTTCTCAGAGACCTTCTGCTCCTGTGCTGCTGCCTCCGCTTTTCTTCTTCTTGCTGCCGTTGCTTTATCTTCATCAGCTTTTCAAAGCTTTTGGTTGTTGTTGGGTTTACAACGAACCAATCCTGGAGAGGTAAAACAGAAACAGTAACCAGTCAAGAAACACAGTGAAGACATAAAGAAGGGCTATAGGAAAAATGAAGAAAAGGCATGACTACGGCATAACATGGGAAGGAGGAAACAGGAATGGAACCACACCCCAAACTGTATTTACAATTAGACAGATCCACTAGAAAACGGTTCTTAGAAACAAATATTGCAATGTGTGATTCTGAGTACATTTATACATGATCTACAAAGTCGTTTACTGAGCACCCTCTATCTCCTCCTGTATAACATCACCATGACATGTGAAACACTGAACCAGAGAAGATTTTTACTTCAGGACTGTATAGAGGCTCAGAGCATGATCTGTCAACCAGACCTCCCGAGTGGAACTACCAGTTCTGATTCTACCTATGGGCAAATTTCTTGACCTCTTTGAGACTCAGATTAAAAATTAAGGACATGAGGGAGACCCAAAATCCAACTAGGAAGTATTCTTAATAAAAAAGTGCTTGAACCTACCATGTAATCTGATCAAATCTATCAATTTATAGGTAATAGCTAGGTAGAGGAACATTACCCCAGGATGCAATCAGCAAATTCCAGAATGATCATCAATGACTTTGGACTCTCCAAAAAGTAAATGGCAATGAAAAAAAAAAAAAAAAGGAAGGGAAACTTCTTGACCTTCATGGTGTAAGGACATAGCCAACTGGCAATATATACCTAATGACTTCTTGTGGTTAGTCCAAATTGAAATAAGTTGTTCATGAAAACTACATACCAAATTTCAAAGGCTTGTTATTAAAAAACATAAAACATCTCATTACTAATTTATTGACTAATCACATTAAAAATAACATTTGGATGTACTGGGCTGAATATAAATTATTTAAACCAATTTCGCCTGTTTTCTTTATACTTTTTCTTTTCTATTTTTGACACAGGGTCTTTCTATGTAGCCTAGGCTGGCCTCTAACTCTCAATTCTCCTGCCTCAACTCCTGAGTGCTGGGATTAGAGATATGCACCACCACACCTAGCTCATTACACTATGAAAGACAGATCCTAGAAAACTTTGCTGGGGTCATGGCTCAATGGGAAGAGTACCTACCCAGCAAGTGTGAGGCCCTGAGTTTAAAACACAGTACCACCCATAACAAAGCAAAACAAAAAAAACCCAAACAAAAATCTATAAAATTCTATTACAGACATTTCTAGTCGATAGTAATGCTCCAGATCAAAACAGCAACACATGGACCTCTTTTTAGATCCCTCATTGAATAAGGCAATTCTGAAAAACATTTTCAGAGAATCAAGGGAAATTTAAAGGATGACTGTGAAATTATGCAGATATTAAGAATTGTTAATCTTTTAGGCATAATGATGTTTGTGCAGGTATGTAAAAATTCTTATTTTTTAAAGATACATGTTGAAAGAAGAATTTACACCTGAAATAATATATGGAATTTGATTTAATATAAGTAGTTTGTAATTGTTTTATGCAGTATTTTAAATAGCATTAAAAATAACCTGCTACGAGGACCACATTTCAAAGCCAGCCCCAGGCAAATAGTTCGGGAGACCCTACTTTGGAAAAAATCCCCAGTTACAAAAAAGGGCTGGCAGAGTGGCTCAAGTGGTAAGAGCACCTACCTAGCAAGTGAGGGCCCTGAGTTCAAACCACAGTGCTACCAAAAAAAAAAAAAAAAAAAAAAAAAGCCTGCTAGAAGACATTAGAATACCAGAATGTACAGCAGTACAGATATCAGTGTGAAACACTGTCAAATATGTAAATTCGGCCTGCATTCTAAATGCCAGATTTAATTACATTCACAAGAATTAAAAGAGTTCAAGGTGAGTGATTTTAAATATTTTCACAGAAAAATAAAATCACTTATATAAATTTAGAGAACATTTTAGTCCCAGATCTGCAGTTACTTTCCTTGATAGCCTGTAAAAAGAGAGACAAAGTCCATCTCTCTGTGGCTTAAATACTGTGTACCTAAGATTAATAAAAACACTACAGAAAGCAGGACCTCACCTCAGCATGAACAGAATTGATGTGATATTTGACACCACTCTCTGACACAAACTCTTTCTGACACAGAAGACACTTGTATTTTCCAGCCACAAAGTTTCCCTATTTCCAGGAGAGAAAGAAAAGAGAATTTACTGGTTAATTCAGGGATATACACATGGGCCAGAGGTAGGGAATGTCAGGGATGAAAAGAAGGGATTCTACTTAGGCAAAAGTAAGAAGAAAAAAGATCTAAAGCAACAATATATTTAGGAAAACCAGCTCAAACAGGCACTCACAAATACAAATCAGTTCTGATGCCATTCTGGGCCAAAAACCCACCCCACCTTCAACACAACCTGACATTCTCTTACTTTCATTATGTACGAGGCCATTTTTCTACCTTCCCAGGCTCCCTGCACCTCACTGTCGGGTTGTCTGGACTCCTTCCCCCAAATGATCAATTCCCAAGGTCAACAGAGGCACCACTGTACAATTCTTCCAATTGTTATCCACTGTGGCAAAAAGTGCCTTGGAAATCCAGAATTAGAAGAATACCATCCATAATACCTAGTTCAAGGACTCAGAAACTAGGATCAAGATGACAAACTCCTAAGCATTCCTGCACAGATCTGGTTGGGATGCCTACAACTCCCTTGTTGCCTTCAACTGAGACTTCTCTCCCCTCCTGAAGCTTCAGGTTTCCATGGTGCTCATTTTGTATGAGGAGATACTTCTGAATGGGATTGGAAAGTGGCAGCATTTCCCATGGCTCGTGGGTTGTAGGGCACCTGGGTCAACACGGAAAAGATTCAGAGAGGTGAGCGGCTGTTAGCCTGACACCCTGTCCCATCTCCCATTCCTTGAAGCCAGTAAAGTTCTGATTGGGCTTGGGGGGGATCTTCACCAGTTCAGAAAAGAATATGTAACTTCTTTTTAGGGAGTTTAAAGCTCAGTAAAACAGAGCAGGCTCAGTGTGTGAGAGGCTCAGGTAGAAGTTAAATCTCTGGTTGTGATTCAAAAGTCACATATTTTTCTCCAAATTCCTTACATTAGTATGAATTTATTGCATCTTTGATGTATCCTGGCATCCCGCTCAATAGAAAGTTCAAGAATTTCTGTGACACAGAGACCTAAAATAACTTCTGAAGATAACTGTTCACCTGAACTGAGTTCTCCTCCACATTACTCTATTTGAGAGGAAGTATGAAGATACTAAATTTAAAAAAGTTACAAACCAATGTACAAGAGCCCAGGTGAGCTTTAAGGCCAGATACACTACTGTAGACAGCCTCACACCCCTGAAAAAGAGAAGCAATGAAGTTAATACCATGGCAAACAGCCTTCTCATGCAATCTGGTCATTTATACTGACCAACTCACATTTGAAGACCAATAAACAGTGCCAAAACCAAACACTAAATGAAGTCACATGAGACGCACAACAGTGAGAAGGAAAACTAAAAACAGAAGGAAAAGAAAAACAGAGGAACAGGTGTTTAATCTATTTTGTTTAACCTACTTTGTTCCAGGGTACTTTCTCTGACACTTTTACAGAAATACACAAAACTGTACTGTTAGATTGAATGACTGACTGATTTTGGCATCACTGGGGTTTGAATTCAGGGCCTCACACTTGCTAGGCATGCACTCTACTACTTGAGCCACTCCACCAGTCTTGTGTTGGGGATTCAAGATAGGGTCTGGAGAATTATTTACCTGGGCTGGCATCAAACCATGATCCTCCTGATCTTGGCCTCCCAACTAGCTAAGATTACAAGTGTGAGCCACCAGCGTGTGGCTTGTTAGATTTATTTTTAATGTGTCTTCTACTTCCTGTATATTTATTCTTCCTCAAAGCAGAGCATATGTACATGTGGTAGCTTCAAAGATAGTTGAAAACTCTCTCCCACTCTTGCTGCCAAGAGTGAAATCTATTTACCTTCCTTTGAGTCTGGGTTAGCCCTGTGATGTCTCCCATCAGCAGAATGCCACAGAGTGATGCTGTGAAAATTCCTAAGCGAGGCTTATGAGATCTGCAACTACTTCTCTCATGTTCCTACACCTGTCTCTGCTAAGTGAGGCACTACACTCTGCTGGTAGTCCCACTACCCTGGTAGAGAGAGACCACATAGAGCAATGAGCTCCAGCTGAATGCAGCTGCATCCACACAAAAGCCACCTTGGACATTCAGTCCCATCTGACCTGCTGCTCAATGCACCTCCACGAATGTCCCAGATGATGCCACACATAGCAGGAGAGCTGTCCCCCTGACCTCTAACGGAATAATGGATCTATAGAGTTGTGAACAAATAAAATAATTGCCAGCTGAAACCACTATAGTTCAAGTGCTTTGTCATGAAGGAACAAAAAAAGGAAATGCTTGGGAAATATTTCCTGAAGTAATTAAAGAGAAAGAACCACCTGGTTGGGACACTGAATGCGATGATACTTCTTAATATCCATCTTCCATTTGTGCAGTACTTCTTGGCTGAAGGTAGGTAGCCCAGGGCGAGTATATTTTAACTAAAAGACAAGAAAAACTTGATTGGATAAATGCAACTCCCAACCAAAGTATCCCCAAAGCATCAGACCCACCTCTTCAAGCTATGCATATTCATATACAAAAAAAAAAAAAAAAAAGATTAAAAACCCTCAAAAGTTGCTGGAACTGGTAAAGCTATTCATCTATTGTTTAGTCTTTTAAAAACTTGATTTTTAATAAGGTCAGGAGTCTTTCATATGTAACACTTCTCCTATACTTTAAAAAGCTACAGTTCATGACAGAGAAATAAAATTGTTCAGAAAAATTGGTGAAATCACTCGTGGTGGCTCATGTCTATATAGTCTTAGAACTGAGGAGACTCAGGCAAAAAAAATGAATTCAAGACCGACCTTAGCCACATAGTGAGTTCAAGGCCAGCCCTGGCTATATAGTGACATCCTGTCTCAAAAAAGGAAAGAATAGGACAATGAGGAAATGAGGAATACAAACTCAATGTAAACATATTTAGATGATTAAAAGAAGGCCATACATCAAAATACTCTGTGACCTATTCTCTGGGTGGTAGAACTGTGAATTTCAGTAGCTTTTCCCTGCTTATCTGCACTTGTATTTTTTTGATTCACGTGTGTGCATACATAAAGGCACACACGTATACAGCTGGGCTCTAAGCACCAAGAGAATGAAGAAACAATGAAAGCCCAGTAGGAATAAGCATATCTAGCACCCTTCCTTCATTTCTAAATATACCCTCTTAACAGGAACCAGCATTCCTTACAAGAATGGTTAATTCTAAGATTGGGAAGAGAAAATACTGTATGTTATGGTATTAACAAGTAAGAAAGTGCTTTAAAAATGATAGAGTCATGTCAAAAAAGACACAGGATCCCACTTGAGAGAGTGCTCAGTAACTAAATCTGGACCAATTTGAATAGCAAAATAAGTAACAATAGCAATGGATTACAACCCATACAATAAGTATCCAGATGGCTACACAAATCCAGAGCTACTGTATTTTCTGATTCAACCAACCTCAGCTGGAAATATTTGACAAAAAAAATTTGTCTGTATTGAACATGGGCATTTTTCTCATCACTGATCCTAAAAAATATAGTATGATAGCTATTTATATAGCACTTACATCGTTAGACATACGTTATCTGGAGACGATTTAAAGTATATGGGAGTATGAGTGGAATCACTACACAAATACTATGCTACTTGATAAAAAGAGGCTTGAGCATCTACAGAAGAGTGTAGGAACCAATCTCCCTACACACACAAGGGAAGACTATACTGATAGTAATAAACGAATACAGAAAAGGCATAGACTTTTCTCACAGTACAGTTTCAGTGAGTAATTACAGAAGAAAGGTTAGAAATAGGAAATGTTCATTAAGTAAAAACCACAACAATACTTCCTGCAGGTAAAACTCATTAATAGATATTAATCTAAGTGGGTGAAAGTAAAATAAGAAATGGAATATTTGCATGATCTCCCAATTTTCATGAATGAAGGGGAAGATTATAATTTTACACACACTAGTCCACTGTTAAGTTATCGTCACGAGTAAAAAAGACACATCCACATCACATACTTTGAACACGAAGCATCCAAAATGGTCAAGACCACCTGAGTGATATTCTGGTCAAAGCCATGTAATCCTCAGTCTTATCTTGAGAAAGCACCATATTATTAGGGAACAATCTACAAACTACCTAGCTAGTCCTCTTCGACAGCACCAAGTACACAAAAAACAAAGCTAGGGGAACTATAACAAGTTGAAGTAGACCAAGGAGATACTAAAAAGACAAAATAAAGGATCCTGATGGGATCCTGTGTATAGTTACATAAGATGTTGGCATTAAGGAAAGATGGGTTAAGAGCCCATGAGAATTCGGTATTAATGCTTCAACTGTTCTGTAAGTCTAAACTCATTTCAAAAATCAAATTTAAAAATATATTACTTATATTTACATTAAGAAAAACTGCAAAGAAGCACAAGAAGCTAATAATATCAGTTAAACCTAGGAACGGGATAGAGCAAAGACAGGGTGTAAGTGAGTTGCCTCAATGTTTATCATCATTTTGACTTTTGAACCAGGAGAATATATCTATTAAAAATAACTCTAATATTTAAAAACAAAATATTAATGCCTTTTACCCATACATTGTCAAAAAACATAAACCTGTTTGTTGATATGGGGAAAGGATCTGCTGAATAACACTACCAAAAATCAGTGAGTTGACAAATATCTCAGATTCCCTACACCTACCACGCACAGTCACTCTTGACTACAATACCACAAGACACATATCACTGTGCAAAGTTCACATTTTAGCTGAATTTTCATAGCCTGCAGCAGGGAAAAACATGTAGAAATAATTCTGAAACAAGAGAAGATGCTCTGCTATTCAAAAACAGGGCCCAACTTCTTGGATACCAGCAGGACTGGATTTTGGGTCAAAAAGGAGATGTGCTAATACTCTAGGATCTGACCTTAATTGCTTATAAGACTAACATTCCTGTCACATAGATCATGCCCTAGGTCAACTATAAACTGTTCTTAATACTCTGGAGAGTAACAGGTACTTAGCTGTGAGGTCAGTCTTCATTGTATATGTCCTCAACCTCTTCCCACAATGATCCTAGTCTACACCCTGTCTCCTCCTGGGTAATTAAAGCTCCTTCCCTCTATGATCCATTCTAACCCAATGAATTCCAAAAAGGTTCTGCACCCTTCAGAAGGATACTTGAGCTATGTAAGGGAACATTAATAGTGCCAAGGAAAAGGCCAAATAGATAAGGCTCTACATTTCTTACCCCCAGTTCTCCAGAGCAAATCTGATTTTAGTTATTATATGTACTGTTATTTAACATAAGCTTTTATTTTGTGAAAAGGGAGGAGATGAGTTCTATTGGGATAAAACCAAATTGAAACCAGGTACCTAAACTAAATAAAAAACATTACATGTAAACTGACAAAATGGAAACACTCTGGACAGATTATACAAAAATCTAACCGGAGAATATGGGTTCCCTCAGGAAGTAGTCCAGAATTAAGAGACCTCCTTAGAAATTTCTGAAACAAGACTGTCATGCTAGGTCCTACCTAAAACTGTATCTGATGACTCTGTCTCCAAATTGTAAAATATTGCTCACTGTGCACTTACTCAAGTGCATTTACTTTTGTCCATACAGAAAACACATTATTAAACACAATGGTTCCAAAACTGATACAGGTTTCTACCTTACCTTCCGATCATCAGGTACCAGGTCCTGAAGCACCTTCCTCTTAGGCCACTCCTTGGTCAGTTCAGCAGAGGCCAGCTCCTGCAGGTGGTATACAGCTATCTTGGCAGAACGCCTCTGAACTCGGCCTCCACTCTTTGGCTCTAGGCTCACCTCCTTTAAGCACTCTGGCTGTCCTGACTCTGGAAAGAAGGAGATCTGCAAGAATGAGACACAGCAAAATACAGGTGTGGTAAGTGGCTTTCATCATGGCCAGTGATTAAAGGCTGCTCTTCTTGTACACTAAGTATCACAGGAGCTTTTTACTAGCTTGCTGACCACCAATATCAAACTCCACAAAACTGATGCATATTTTACTGTTAAAAAAAAAAGTTTCTCCTACTCAGGAAGCGAGAGCAGAAGGACTGTACTTCAAGGATAGCCCGGGAAAAAAGACCCCATCTCAACCAATAGCTGGGTGTGGTGGTAGGCACCCGTCATCCCAGCTGGTGGGAAGCATACATGCTTCAGGTCAGTCCAGGCAAAAAGCACAAGACCCTGTCTCAAAAATAACCAGAACAAAAAGAGCTGGAGGTGTGGTTCAAGCAGTAGAACACCTGCCTAGTAAGTGCAAACTGAGTTCAAAACCCCGTAATACCAAGGGGGAAAAAAGCGCTTCTTACTGGGATAAAAATCTGTTTTGCTATTCCAAGTGGCCAAAACCCCAGACACATTGATATAAATGAATCTCAAACCATAGGTCACACTAAGTACAAAAATTAACACAGAGAACAGACCTAAATGTAAAACATAAAATAATGCAACTTCCAGAAAAAACTGAGGGAGAAGACTTTTGTAATTCCAAAGTGTCAGCTTGGCTAGGCTGCTGTCATCAGTTAATCAAACACGAACCTGGGTGTTGATGTGAAAAGTATTTTGTTTTTTGACAAACTTGCAATCCTTCTGCTTCATTCTCCTGAGTGCTGGGATTACAGCTGTGCACCTCCACACCTGGCCTATGCCAGTATTTTGTAGATGTGAGTAAAGTCCGTAATCACTTGACCTTAAATAAGAGCAATGGGGCAGGAGAGAGCTGCTGCTGAAGCTGAGGAACTATGGCCAAGGGAAGGCATGTGATCATCAGACACAGAGAACTCCCAGCCTATATTAAACAAGGAAACCAGGTCCTTTAACTGTATGGAACTGAATTCTTCAACAATCTGCATCAGTCTGAAAAGAGTTCGTTCTCCCCTGGGGCCTGCAGGAAAAAACAATCCTCCACTAACACTGTAATTCTAGCCTAGTGAGACTTTACATACAGGAACCACCGATCCATGCCATAGCAAGACTTCTGACAGGAAGAACTGTGAGATAAGAAGTCTGGGTTATTTGATGCCATTATGTTTGTGGAGATTTTCTGCAGCAGTAGAAAATTACAGATGGGGTCAGAAGTGATGGCTCATATCTGTAATCCTAGCTACTCAGGAGGCACAGAGGATTGAGGATTGAGGTTCCAAGCCAGCCCAGGCAAAAAGTTCATGGACCCCCCTCTCTACTAATAAAAGCCAGGTGTGGTGCCATGCACCTGTCATTCCAGCTATATGGGAAGCATAAAAAGGAGAATTGGGGATGGAGGTATGGCTCAAGTGTTAAGAGTATCTGTCTCACAAGTATGAAGCCCTCAGTTCAAAAAGCCCAGCACACCACCAAAAAAAAAAAAGGATTGGGGTCCAAACTGGTCTGGGAATAAACATGAGACCCTGTTGGAAAAATAACTACATATTGGGTTACACAAAAAAATTCTTAGATACAATAACAAAGGCATCATCCATAAAAGGAAAAAATTATAAATTATGCTTTGTCAAAATTTAAAACTTTGTTCTTTGAAAAAGAAACTGGGAACCGAAGCTTTGGAGCTGGGGTGCGGAGCAAGTGTCTTGGTGTCTGGCTACCCCAGCTGCCCACATCATCCCTCCAGAGCTTGTGAGGCCCTGGACCTGGTCTGTGTGAGAGCAGGATGATAAGAGGAGGTGGGCCATGGTGCACCTCACTACTCTTCTCTGCAAGGCCTATCATGGGGGTCACTTAACCATCCACCTTGCTCTGAGCAGCTGCACCGACCAGACCTTTCACCACATTGTGGCAGCTCACAAGTGTCCCAGGGATGGCTATTTCATGGAGCAGTTGGGCTCCTATGATCCACTGCCCAACAGTCATGGAGGAAAAACTTGTTGCCCTCAACCTGGACAGGATCTGGCATTGGATTGGCTATGGGGCCTACCTCTCTAAGCCTATGGAGAAGCTTCTGGGTCTTTCTGGTATTTTTCCTTCTGCATCCTATGATGATCACAAATGCTGAGAGACTGGGAAAGAAATGGGCACGTGAAGTCCTCTCAGCTTCTCAGAAAGCAAATTCAGAGGCTACAGAAATGGAAGCGAGCTGACTGCAGTGAACACAGTGATTATAAGGTCAAGGTCCTCTAAAACACTTGTGGAAAGCTCTTAATTTTGTTAGGTATGGAGGTCAATAAATGGAGTTTTCTGAGTCAAAAAAACCCCCTAAAAAATGGTATAGCTGATGAACTTGTATCCAGAACATATAACAAAAAAGCCTCAGAATATATTTACAACTTAATAACAAAAATCCCCCAAAACTGAGCAAAGAATTTGAACAGGTACTTCACTAAAGACATACAAATTGCCAAAAGGCATGTGAAAAATGGTCAACACTGTTACCTAATAGAGAAATTTGCATTACCTACCAGAAAAATGCAAATTTAACCATCAATAAAATCCTGCTATGTACCTATTAGAATGCATTTAAAAACAAAACTAACAATATCAAGTGCAAAGAGAAGAAAGCTACTGGAATTCTCAGACTTTGTGAGAATACAAAAAGATACAGTCACTTTGCAAAACTGTTAGTATCTTCTGAAGTTCAACAATATTTTATCAAATTGTCTCAGCAATCTGCTTCCTAAGTGTTTACCCTAGAGAACTGAAAACTTATGTTGTGTATGGGGGAGCGTGCCTATAACCTCAGCACTCAGGAGGTTGAGGTAAGAGGACCATGAGTTTGATGCCAGCCTGGACTACACGGAAAAACTCACATTCACATAAATCTTTATGTGAATATTAATAGCTGCTTTATTCATAATTACAAAAAACTGGCAGTTATTAAAGATAAACAACAAACATAAAACATATACAATGGCATCTTAATCAAAAATAAAAAGGAATAAACTAATGAAACATGGAACATATGGATCAATCTCAAATATATATGGTAAGTGAAAAAAGCCAGACTACAAAGCCAACATACTATATGATTACTATATGATTCCCTTCCTATGGCAATCTGAAAAAGGCAAAACTATAAGCAGAGAAAATACATCAGTGACTGCCAGGGATTGAAGGTGGGGAACAGAGCTGACTACAAAGGGACACAACGCAATGTGGGGAGGTGACATAATTAGTCTCTGTCCTCATTGTGATGGTGGTTACAGGGCTGAATATAAGCATGAAAACTCATAACTGTGCATTAAGAAGGCCAACACTCGGCTGGGGGGTGTGGCTTAATTGGAAGAGTGCCACCCCAGCAAGCACAGGCCCTGAGTTCAAACCCCAGAGTTCAAACCTTCATATCACCAAAAACAAAAAAAGGAATTGAAAAACTAGCCGGACAGATGTCTACAAAATAAGGAGGAATGCTTTTAGTTTCAAAAATATAAAAATAATATATATTTCAACAATATACAATAATGTCTGGACTATACTTTGAACTTTTATTTCTTCTTCTTTAATGTTCAAAAAGAAGAAATAATTAAGAATAAAGAATGAGAAAGAGAGAAGAAAACCATTCAAAGAGTAAAACAAGACACAAACAAGGAAGCAAGGCCACACAGAATATGCCATGGTAAGCACTCAGCAAAACATACATTTCCAAACAGGGTCCAGAGAGGAATTAGTACTCACAGGTGCATGCTCTGACCTCAGGTGATATGCAAGTCCAGCCTTTGATCTATATGGTTTTCCACAGTGGTGACATTTCAGGGTCAACTTCTCCAGCTCTGCAGCCCCTTTGCCACATTTTCTAACATGATACATATATCCCATAATGCTGGTGAAGGTACTGGAGCAACTCTGAACACAGGAGAGAGGCCTACATGAGAATCTTACATCTTTTTACATGATTCCTAAGTTTCTAAGAAGCCAAAAGCATTTACCACACAAACTACAAAAAGAGACTGGTACTACAGAACCCTCACAAATATTTCCCACTGGCAAACCGTTCCTTCTCCCTCACTATTCTATCTATGAGCCATACGAGTCAATCAGTTTAGTTAGCATTTGAGGAACTACAACCATGTACCTACTCTGAGTCAGAGCTTCCTTCTTGGTCTGTGATTCAACCCCACCCCAATATCAAATAGCCAGCAACATCAAAGTTCATCACTGAGGTTATGGGGATCCTCTTCATCACACTAAAGAAAAGATGGCAAAGAAACCCCTTTGAACAAACAGGAAGGTGAAGAAAAAATTTTTGGAGATGAGAAAGAAAGTAAAGAACTATTAATGACTTTAAGAGCCCTGGAAAAGCAGGAGCTACCTTATGCCATAAAATGGCACAGAACTAAGATGTCTACAAAGGAAAAAGAGGAGAAATGAAAAAGAATAACAGAAAGACATTGTCCTGAGACTTCAGGGAGAAGGAGCTGCTGTCCTCGGGCTCTTACCTCACGCATGCACCTGAGCTTTCCCAATCTCTTTAGAACTGTTCGGAGCCGTTCCCTCTCACTTGGCTCATCTACTTCATCTCCGGCCTTCAAAATGGGCTGGAAACCAAGAGAAGGAAATAAGCAGATGATTCATGGAAAAAACAAACACATAAAAAAAAAATCATAGAGAATCAAGAATTGGACTAGCAGCTAAGATGAAGCCATGAAGTTAAAGTTCTGGTTTTCTGCTGGCTTTATCCATCTTCTCCTTGATAGGCAAAGGAAGTGAACACAATGGAAATAAGCGCTCTGAGTCTCTACCTCATAGGACATAAACCCTTAGGACTAACTTAAACTGCCTATCTACAATCCACTTCAAAGGTTTCATTGTATGTAACTCTTGTCATGAAGAGTCTTCTGACTGACTCCCCTATAAGATCCAAGAACTGCAGCCATCTCCAGTGTGGTCCCTATACTCACCTACATAAAAGACATCCACACACCATGCAGGCTCATGAAGGACACAAGAAACTCTTACCAAACTATTATGGTTCGCCATGACATGGTACTTCATTCCTGCCAGTGAGCGAAGCTGTTTCCCACAATGATGGCAGGTAAACATTTCCTAAAAGGAAAGACACAGTGCTCAATGCTAGGTTGTTCAACAGAGGAAGAGAGTGTCACAAATTACACATGACAGGCAAGGCTACTAGCAGGTGTTACTTCTTTCTTACCCTCTCATCAACTACCTAAGATTTTACTTTTTCTCCATTTTACAAATGAGGAAACCAAGGTCCACAAGGAAAAAAATTATATGCCACCACTGGTACTGCAGCCAACTAAACATCTGAACACAGGTCTGTTACATGCAATGCTTGTATTTTCTGTACCACACGCTGCTCCAATCCGCTGTAATCAGCAGATCCTACACAGTAACACAGGTCAGAAGTTTGAGTAAAAAATTCTAATAGCTATGAAATGTCACAAAAATATCTAACCTGTTTGCAGTTTTCCATGTGTTTCTTTAAACCCTCTATGGTCTTCCTCCCCACTGCCTGGCAGGTAGGACAGGAAACACTCCCTTTATCCACGATTTCTAAATACCATTGCTCCTCCAAACTACCTACGACAGAGAGAAAGAACACTTGTAATCTGCAGTATTCTCCAGAGACAAAGAGCATACTCCCACAATTGAGGAAAGTATCAATAAAAATGGCTTCTTCCTTTCCTGGTAGAGCACAATGAATAGACTCCAGACAACTACAAGTAATTTTTGACATACAATGTAGAGTTTCTGGAACTCCCACTTATTTCCCCCTGGTAAAAACCATCTGCAAACACCTCCAAAGCCCTTGGGCATAAGGAGCTAGGCATCATTTCCACAGCAAGATCTAAGAATGGGATTCTGAGGTATGTAGGACCCATTTTCTCAGTTTTTTTTTTGTCCCTCAGAGTATGCTAAATGTTTTTATGCCATTTAAATTTCACAACATTTCTGACTATGTAAACAAAGGGAAACTGAATCTTGCAAGTAAAATCAATTGAGGTAGGTCAGAATTGCCAAAACTTAAATAAAAGCTTATGTGATCTTCAAGCCTAGGACCTTAATAAAATCACCTACTTAAAAAAAAAAGAAGTGCTTCAGTACATCATTCCGCACAGAAAATAGCAACACAAAGTCACTGTGACAACCGCATCCTACAAATCTTCAAAAAAGAAAGCATACCAGCTGCATACACTGGAGGATCCTTCCGAATGCGGCGAGTCTGGGATTTGGGATTAGGTTGCGTTTTAGGCCGTTGCTTCCTCCCTAAGGCAAAACAGAAACTTGAAGCCCGATATGGCACCTTTACTAACTCCTTTCCCCCTTTCTGCTTGACACCTTAGGTCCCACTTTCTCAATCAACTGACTCCCCCATAAGTTATGACAGAATGAAAGTTACAGTAAGACAGGATGGAGGCCTTTCCCTGACCCAAATTAAAAAGGTTTAAAGGCCAACCAAGGGCCCAAACCAAAGTCTCTCTCCATTTTTCTTCTCAAAGAATAAAGCCCAGTCACCCAAGGAAAAAGCAGTAACAAAATTACTCCCTGACCATAAAGTTTATGCTTCTTCTGAGGAAATTCTCGATAGTCTTCATCTTCTTCCTGCCTGGGTTTCCTTTTTCCTTTGGTTGACACTCCACCTGACCCAGACATACCATACACAAACTCAGTAGTTTGTAAGTGAACATCTGGGCCTGCCTTCAAAACAGCATTCATAAGCCCATCAAAGGGAAAGACCACTGACTAATAAACACAGGCCTACAGAATTATTTGTCACAGTTTTATTAAAGTTGATTGAACTTTTCATTCACTTACTGAACCTCTTTGCCCCCTTTTTGTATTTTTCTCACCTGGAAATAGCAGGTCTTCTTTTTGACTAAGGACCTTCATGATAAGTGTTTTGTTTGATCTTGATTTTGTTTGTTTGTTTTTTCTAGTTCTGGGGACTGAACCCAGGGCCTCTACCAGGCAAGCACTCCACAACTTGAGCTATGCCCCCAGCTCTGCTTGGTCCTCACTTGAGGCTAGCACTGAATGTACTAGAATAGACAACCCTATTATCCTACATCCCTACATCCCTCAGGTTATATGTTCTCAAAAGAGGAGTAAACTAGAATATGGGAAAGTAGGTCAAGTCGCATGAATATAAGTTTAATTGAAGGAGCAGGATCAGTAGAATTTCACTCTTTTAAACAGAGGAATAGTTCATGAAATTAATATTCTGTGATTAAATAAATGTAATCAAAGCCAGTATGGTGACACACACCTGTAATACCAGCACTCAGGAGGCTGAAGCAGGAGAATCATGAGTTCAAGACCACTTCAACCTACACAGTGAGTTCCAAGCTAGCCTAGGCTTCACAATGAGACCATCTCAAACAAACAAAATTTTCTTTAATCACTAATGATAAGCACATATGTGGCATTTGACACTTTAAGAGTGATTTATAGCAGCTACTTCAAAATACAACTTCAAAGAGTGCTCTGTCTTGGGAAGAAAACACTGAATGAATACCTTCAACTGGAGAAGTGGCAGCTGGCTTGATCCTTCTCATCTTCATCCAGTAGGTGGATTTTCGGAAGGATGCTGGAAAGTCACTCACTGGTTCACATGAAGAGGCAGATGATGAACCACTGAAGGAGTCATCATGAGGGATGGTGTACTGGAAACTATTATCCTTTATGGCGCACTGGTTCCTGCTACTGACATGACACAAAGACATACACCACAGAGGAAGGCCTGGAGAAAATTCCTATTATTCTGTTATATCATAAGAATATAACCAAGTTGGTTACTTATGTAAAAAACTAAAAAGCCTGGTTTAAAAAAAAACAGAATGTAGGTTGTAATGCCCTAACAATTACAATGGCCCATCTAATACAACATGTATAATCATTATTATAGTTCACTGTAGTCAGAGTACGCAATCCACATAAATGGTCATTGTGCAGCCCAGAAACGCATTCTTTCATAGATTTATGTAACATCCTCTGGTATGAGAAAATACCTGGTTACAGGTATCTTTCAGCCTCCCTATCTGATAGGGACAGTAACAAAAGGATCTCTCTGAGAATACAGAGGAAAAATTAGTCTGTAGACACTAATTTGATACATCTTCCCTCTTCCTTAGCATCCTCCCTAAACTGTGATCACAGGGCTACCCTCTCTTACTCAGGCAACATGACATGTAGCTTCCATTGCTAATGGACAGATGTTATACCATGTGAGTTAAACTGGCCAAAGGATTCTGATGAATAGCTGAATCCAAATTTCTAAATCAAAGAGTGGTTAGTAAGTCTGTTAACAAACATTATTGAATAACTACAAAGTATCAGACACTCCTCTAGGTGGCTCAAGATGAGCAGCAGTTCTCAAAATGTAGTCTAAGGACCCCTAGGATCTCCCTGTTCCAGCAAGCATCTGTGTGGGGCCTGTTTCAGACTTAGGGTTTAGAAAAATCACTCTGCAAAGATGTTCCTGGCCAAGGAAAGTTGGGCCATAGAGTGTAGGGAATTCTGAAGAGGAAAAAGGCAAAGAAAGCAATTTCATAATTTTGTGTATGAAACCACACAAGTCCTAGCTTCACCTGACCTATGGATACTAGGGCATATTCTAATCAGCCTAGAAAAGACTTTGAAACCTGAAATTAGATTTGAACTAAATGAACCAAACCAATGTAGCAAAAGCCTGGAGAACTAAAACAAGATTTGAAACAATTGCAGAACTCTCAGAGCAACCCACAGGCTACTCATGAACCAGAGGAGGCAATCACCATAGCAAAGAGCAGAGGTGAGATGCAAACAAGGCCCTCCGAAGGTTAGACAAAAGTTATGGTCTAAACCTAAAAGGACTGGTTGCTAGCTAAAACCAGCAACATCTTCAGAAGACCAAAATAAGACCCAAAATCTACAGAAATAATATTCACAATGTTGAAGATTAATTCCAAAATTATGCAAAGAACTATGAAAATGTGGGAAATTCTCAAAGAAACAGTGATCAGAACAGTGCCAATCACAAGATGATTCAGACATTGGAAATGTCAAACACTTTCAAGCAGCTATTACAATTGCTTATAAAGGAAAACACACATGGAATGAAGGAAAGGGTAGGAATTAACAGCAAACTGAAAGCATAAAAAGGAACCAAATGAAATTTTAGAACAGAAAAATGCAGTACCTGAAATAAAGTTCACTGGATGGGTTCAGTAGGCAAATGGAGATGACAGAGGAGAGTCTGTGAATTTAGAAATGATCCAATCTACAGAATACAGAGGAAAAGGTGGAGAAACAGCCAGCAAACCCCCAACAACCTGAGGGTCAGTCTCGAAGTTCTAATTTCACTGTGGCTATGATCTCAGAAGCAAAGAATAAAGTCACTGAGGTAGAAAACCACATTTGGAAAAAATAATGGTAGAAAATCTCACAAAAAAAAGAAAAGAAAATCTCACAGATTTGGTGACAGGCATAATCTGAAAGATTCATGGGGCTCAACAAATACTAAATAGTGAAGAAAAGCACAACTAGGGCCAGCACAGTGGCTCACATCCATAACTCCAGCTATTCAGGAGGTGGAGACTGGGAGGATCAAGGATCCAGACCAGACCAGGCAAACACCAATAGCTGCTCATGGCGGCATGCACCTATTATCCCAGCTATGCAGAAAGAGTAAACAGGATCATGGTCCAGGCCAACCAGGCAACCATGTGAAACACTATCCCCAAATCAACTAAAGCAAAAAGAGCTGGGGGCATGGCTCAAGTGGTAAAGTGTCTGCCCAGCAAGCATGGGGCCCTAAGTTCAACCCCCATTACCACCAAAAAAAATAAAAGCAAAAAGAAATGAAGTGAAAAGCACAACTAGACACATCTTAAACTGTTTCAAAACCAAGGTTTTTAAAAATCTAAGAGAAACTTCAGAGAAATGGAAACTTCACCGTTCAGGGAAAAGTATTCAAAAAACCCCCACAGATTTCCCCAAGAGAAACCAAGGAAGCCAGAAGACAGTGCAACAATATCTTCAAAATCCTGAGGGAAAAAATATGTCAGTTCAGAATTCTATCTGAATTGTTGTTAATACACCTTCACTGTAAGAAATATAAAAGGAGCTGCCAATGGCTCACGCCTGGAATCCTAGCTCCACAGGAGGCTGAGATCAAGAAGACTGCAGTTTAAGGATAACCCAGGCAAACAGTTCACAAGACCACACCTCCAAAATAACCAGAGCAAAATGGACTGGAGGTGTGGTTCAAGTGTTAGAGATCCTGCTTTGCAAGCACGGAGCCCTGAGTTCAACCCCAGTCCCAACCCCCTCCAAAAAATGTAAAAGCAACTTATTCCAGCTGAAGAAAATACCAGAGGGAAATTTTTATTTTTAAGAATGAAGGAAGCAAGAGAAATAATAAGTAGCTGAATAAAAATAAATTATTTAAAGCAAAATTTGAATATTATCTGGAAGAGTTTTCAATATACTATAGACACAATACATATAGTAATGTAACATAATAGTCAGTGGGTACCTACATGGTAGTAGGTTTCTACATTTTAGCAAAGTGGTAGAATATTATAAGTAGACCATGATAGGATACATATGTATGCTGTAATTCCTAAAGCAATCACTAAATAGAGAAAAAAGCAGGGAGCCAGTGGTTCATGCCTATAATCCTAGCTACTCAGGGGGCAGAAATCAGAAGTGCAGGCAAATGGTTCTCAAGACTCTATCTTGAAAACACCCAACACAAAAAAGGGCTGGTGGAGTGGCTCAAGTGGTAGAGCACCTCCTAGCAAGAGTGAGGCCCTGAGTTCAAACCCTAGTACTACAAAGACAGACAGAGAGACAGAGACAGACAGCAAACCATAGACAAAAACTCAATACAAGAGTAAACTAAATTTAAATGGGACCCAAGAAGACAGAATAACAAAACACACTGAAAGCTGTTGAATAATAGGGAGTAGGGGGAAAGGGTAAGGAAAAGTAATAGAGGGGGTTAATCTGAGTGAAGAAGAATGTATTCACAGGTGAAATACCATAGTGAAACTCATCTGAACCATAAATATACACTTAGAAAATGAAGGGAAAACACACACACACACACACACACACACACACACACACACACACACACAAATGAAGGACAGGAACGTAAAACAGGTCTGTTAGGGAGTGGATAACTAGGGAGAGGGGGAGGATGAACAATGTAGAGGTTAAAGGAGAGTGAATATGGGCAATGTACTTTCTATACTTGTATGAAAATAGAACAATGAAACCTGTCTCAATCATTTTAGGTAGGGGGAGAGGAATGAGGGAGAAAGATGATGGGGATGTACCCAACCAAGGTACACTGTAGGTATATATTGAAATGTCATACTAAAACCCCCTGTGCAACTAATACACGCTCATAAAAATTGTTTTAAATAAATGGGCCCCTAAGCATTCAAATAATCCAAAAGAACCAAGGAACAAATAATAGGACAAATGGAGAATAATAAAAGGATAGACCTAAATCCAACCATATCAGTATTAATTCAAACGTTTTAAATCAGAGATTGACAGAGCCAACAAAAAGGCAATATCCCACTAGTTAGTACAGACTACCAACAAAAGGCACCCTCTAAATATAGACATACATAGACTAAATGTAACTAAATAGATGAAAAAACTATAGCATGCAATCAGCAAACATAAAAGGACTAGAGTGGCTACTTTAATTTCAGATAAAACAGACTTCAAGACAAAGTGTATTACCAGAAATAAAGAGATACTTCCTAGTAATGAAAATGTCAAATTATCAGGAAGACATAACTATCTGTTGTATGTGCCTAATAACAGAGCCTCGAAGTACTCAATGCAAAAACTGACAGAATTAAGGAGAAAAAAATAGACAATTCTACAGTCTTAGACAAATGTACGCGACACCCTTTTAGCAAGTGATACAATTAGACATAAATTCAGTAAAGACCTGAACTATCTGAACTACATTATTAGCCACCTTGCTCTAGCCATTAACAGTTACAAACACTATGCACAGGATATACATTCTTTTAACGTGTACATTATGCAGTCACCAAGACAGAGCACATTTTGGGCCATAAACTTTAAACAACAGGAGGAAAACTGGTATATTTTTGATCACATCAGAACCAAATTAGAAACTAACAGTAATAAGAAAAGCAAAAAAATACGAGTATTTGGAAATTAAATAATCTACTTCTAAGTAGCTCATAAGTCAAAAATGAAGCAACAAGAGTAACTTGAAAATATTCTGCAGTGATTAACAGTAAAAATACACTCAATCTAATGTGTGAATGCAACTAACATAAAAGCTCTTACACTAGAAATGAAGACCTAAATCAACGACTTAAAAAGGACAAGTTAAGCAATGAAGGAAAAATAAATCCATGAACTAGGAAACAGGTAATAGCAAAAAATCTGGCTCTTAAAATTGAGAGCCGTGTAGCTAACCCAATCAAAAAGAGATACCATAAATAAACAATATCAAAAGTGAAAGAGACTATCACATATCATATAGGCATTAAAATAACGAGGCCACGAGTAGTGGCCTGTAATCCCACTGACTTGGAAGGCTTGAGTTCAAAGTTAGCACAAGAACAAAAACAAATTATGAGCTAGGACATAGCTAAAGTAGTAGAGCACTAGCCTAGCAAGCATGAGGCCCTGGGTTATATCCCCAGCATGACAATAAT